TGTAGATTTTTACTAGTGAAACCTAGCTTTATGTATAATAAATTCTCATTAGTATGAACTTATTGTATAATCCAAAACAGATGGACATATTTATAAGAACACTTTACTTCATGCAATAGGAATATACTATAAAGCTCATTTTTGGACCTTTGTTATACATAAAAGCATATCTTTAAATGCAGTAGGAACTTACTAGTTAAGGAGGTATCTCAGTGAGTCCCATAAAATACACAGTCCATAATAATAAATATTTCTGTTCCAGCCCACAGTAAATTTTTAAAGCGCTCCCCCGCTTCAGCCCCTTGCCTCCAAGAGTATCCATTCTGACAGGCCTCTTCCTGTTTTGAGTTTTCAAAAATTGGTGGACTGGCTAGATGGCAGACGATAAATTATCTGGCCGTATTTATCTGCACGTTCTAGACTTGAAAACTAATGAATAGTGCTACTATTATAAAAATGTCTTTGTGCCCAGTAGCTCTGGATCAAAAAGCCAGTACATACTTCCACTTCTCAAAAAAACCTACTGGCTCATGTTCCCAAAAATACCAATGACCAGCGGAATCAAAATTCATTTTTCCACAGATAAAAATAAAAGGGAAGGGCATATGCTGTACCCCCACCAGAATGGCTAACCATTTTTTTTCTTAAGCCATCAATATCAAGTGTTGGTGAGGATATGAGCAGATGAAACCTTTATACTGCTCATGGGAATATAAGTTGGAAAAAACACTTTGGAAAGCTGTTTAGCAGTATCTCCTAAAGCTGAACGTATCCAGGGTTCCTGCCCAACAGAAGTACCCACACATCTGCTCCAAGAGACATGCTCAGGACCACTGCTGGCGACATTATTCGTGATAGCCCCAGAGCGGAAACAGCGCCATTGCAGAGTGGATAAATTGCGACCGAATCATAGGATTGGCTATCACAACAGCGAGCGAGAATAAAGAGGCGCCGCACTCAGCGGCATAGGTAACCTGACAGTAGTCATGCGCAACCAGAGAAGCCAGACACAAAAGAGCACATACTGTGGGACTCCATTTTTACGAGGTCCAAAGCCACGCAAACCTAAGCCATGCTGGTGGAAGTCAGGATAGGAAGTTACCTTTGGCAGGGGGAGGGAAATTCCAGAAGGAGCCCTGGGGGGCTGTGGAGGTACAGGTGGCTACATGGAGTGTTCACTTGCAAAGTTCATTGAGCTCTGCACTTAAGATGTTATGCACTTTACTTACAAGTACGCTGTACTTCAATTGTAAAAGTTGACCCCCCAAAAAGGAAAAAAGGGGTAGCAGATTTATTGGAAAAAACAGATTCCTTCCCTCACTCTTACCCCAAATTTTACTAAGTTCTCTTCTTCTATCACACACAATGGAAATAGTCTTCAACCTAGAGAGCACCTTGAGGGATGATAATCATATCTAGGAAAAGAAACAACATTGGCATAAGAAAATCAAGACCTAAAATCCCGAGCTTCTTCCATAATGGTGAATCCAGAGACAGCAAATACACTATTCTTTTATTGTTGTTGTTAAGATGTTACTTATTTATTTGACAGAGAGAGACACAGCGAGAGAGGGAACACAAGCAGGGGGAGTGGGAGAGGGAGAAGCAGGCTTCCTGTGGAGCAAGGAGCCCGATGTGGGACTCGATCCCAGGACTCTGGGACCACGACCGGAGCCAAAGGCAGACACTTAATGACTGAGCCACCCAGGCACCCCAACAAATATACTATTTTAAGGGAAAAGTAAGCATTTTATAATTCTGCAGCCTTCCAACCGTGGGCAATAATAGGTCCCCTAAAAAGGACCCCCTTTTATCATTTTTACTAATCATTAGCAGAATTCCACAGTGCTATTGGACCAGTTGTTAACAAACCTACTGAATCAAAAACTGCATTTTATCAAGATCCCTAAGTTATTTGTATGCACATTAAAGTTTGAGAAGTCTTACACTCCATAACTTGCAAGCTAGTCTCAAAGATGTATTTCATAAAAATATAAAAGGATATTTTTAAATCCTTTTGAGAAAAAAGAACTTATTTTTGTTTCAGATTATAAAAGTCATGAGTTCATTATATGAAAACTGGAGGGCGCCTGGGTGGCTCAGTCGGTTAAGCATCCAACTCTTGATTTCAGCTCAAGTCATGATCATCTCAGGGTCGTGGGATTGAGCCCCATGTTGGGATCCACACTCAGCATGAGAGTCTGCTTGAGGTTCTCTCTCTCTCGCCCCCTCCCCATCCCCAGCTTGTGCACATGCATGTGCTCTCTCACTCAGAAGGAAGGAAGGAAGGAAGGAAGGAAGGAAGGAAGGAAGGAAGGAAGGAAGGAAGGAAGGAAGGAAGGAAGGAAGGAAGGAAGGAGATTGGAAAATAAAGAAATTAAGGGAAGAAAACAATATCACCCATAATTTCACAACCCCAAAATAACTATGACTTAATATTTTTGTTTTCTCCCACATATTTTTCCTTGCATGTATATAATGTACATAAATATACATTGAGATAATACTGTATGGACATGCTTTTATATGATTATCATGTAACATTTTACCAGTAGCAATCAACTTTCAGTAAATTTTTATTGAACACCAACTACATATCAAGCACTGTTCTAGATGCTGCAGTTATGTAAGGGCTCTTATCCCATAAGCCTGACTTTCTACTGGAGCAGACAGATAATAGAGACAAAGAGGTAAATAATACATTTGTAAACAGTGATAAGTATAAAGAAAGTAAAACAGGGATGAGCTACAAAGTGGCACAGTGCTTTTTTTTTCTTTTTTAATAACCCATGCTCATGATCTTGGACCTCTTCCATTCCTTTAGGATTGACATGTATTTTGTAGCCTTATCAGAAACTGTGATGTGCTCTCCATTTACTATTTGGTTAAACTGAGAGTTCCATATTTTATTTAGTTGAATTACATATCACTAGAAACTGAACAGCTTCACTTGAACTTCTTCAACATCATTGCCTTGTCAACGCATTGATGAAATTTGGAAAATCAAGGCTTAATAGTAACAGTAGCACAGCTGTTACGTGACATGTCACGTAATCTTGTTTCTGTTGTAATCCCGTCTTCCTCTTAAACCCAGCCCTGGGTGCTGCTTTGATGACAGCTAATTACTGCTACCACATTCTCTTATACTTTTCTGCAGTACTTATTTTCCCAGTCTAGACTGGTCTGTGAGGGTCTGTCCTCATACAGTGCTCTGCAGTTTGGTATCTCCAAGAATCAGAGAACCTCAGGATCGAAAGGTACCTCAGTGTTCACCCCCAATTGCATCTCCCTGCATAAAGCATCCTGGAAACCTGAGGAATGATCCACTCCAAACATCAGGCATGATGGGGAAGGGAAATAGGAACCAGGTCCCAATCACTGTTGCAGGGGAGGGAGCCTGAGAAGGCCAGCACTGTGTGGTCAAGCTTGTCTGTCTTGATACATAGCCCAGTGGGAAAGGATTCTAGAAGACTCTGCTCACCCCTTCCTCCTACCAGCTGCAGCTGAATATCTATCTCATAGAGTTTCATGAGCTCATTGAGCTATGCTCCAATGAATCCAATTTTCCTATAAGGTCATGGTGTTCTTACGAAGAACACACATTAGGGAAGAACATAGTTCCAAAGGGGTGCACGTAAGATAATTCCTGGAATTAACTGCCCACCAAATGTAATTTCTGTATGCTGGTGGTTTAGGAGTATCTCTTTTCATGTTCACATGAATATATTTGTATTCAAATGAGGGAATTTTGCACAGTTTGCAGCAAGGGTATCAGGAATAAGAAATTAACATAGGTAGTCCTGCCTAGAGTTATAGTGTCTGGAGCTTCTTTGTGCAGTGGTTGGTCTGCCCCTAAAGGAGACACCGGCTGCCTAAAGCTTGGCTTTCTATTTTCAATGACCATACTGTCCTGCAGCCGCCTCCAATGAAACAGTGATGGAAGTGTGCTTAAATTAATCTGGGCTTAGTTGTCCGAAATGTGTCTCACTTGGTGATGATGATGATGATATCCTCTGACATAGACTTCCAGGCTCTTCCTCAGCCAATCCCATGTAGTATCTCATTTACTCTTCATAAAAACTCAAAGTAGGAACTAGTGTTATCTTTATTTTACAGTTGAGGACACTGAAATGCAGACAGGTTAAGTAACTTGCTTGAGGTCAGATATCTGATCATGAAGGGAGGATGGAGACCAGGCTCTCTGATCTTAACTATACCACTCTCATTTGCACTCACATGATCTTAACTACTACTCTCATTTGCACGCATACAAATATTTTAGCTATTCTTCCCACTTCTTAATGTAAATATAGTCGTTGGCTGTAACAAACCCATGCCTTGATTTGGGATATTGTCATTCTTCATCACCTAACTACCATCTTGGTCCACCTGGCATAGTTATAAGTCATTGTGGGAAAGTATTATGAGGCCATACCTTTGGGAAAGTAATTCAGAAGATTTCTCTGACATGGGGGATGCAACATGTTCATGAACTATTACTTTCAGCTGTTTCCACCTGCACCATAAGTCACAGGGGATTCGAATAACAAATTCTTTTTCCAAAAGGAAGAATTCTGAAGATCATGTTTTCTCTGCGCCTGTGGTCAGTGTTAACAAGTTCAAGCTGATTATTTGGTTACCTAAGAAATTCGCCAGAAGTACCGTGACAGAAGATACATAAGAAATGTATCACCACTGCATTTCTGGACTGCTCACATTTCTCCAAGGGCTCATTTGCATACCTCTTTCCCATTTGTGTGTGCTTTAAGTGAGTTCATTTTATCATCCCATGTGTTAAAACGATTAAAACTGACAAAATCTACCTAAAGGGCATTCTTTGTCAGCAGAGCAGAAAGCAGTCCATTGATGAAACTGTGTTCATGCAGAAACATCACTTATTTGAAAAGATCCTGGGTGTGTTTCCTGTTTTTCATGCAGAAAGTATGTCGGGTACCCTCCAGAAGTCATTAAAATAAGGATGTGTGTGTGTGTCATTGTAGGCTAAAGGTAAAGAAAGACAGTGGCTAAGACACCAAGCCACAGGGGAGCTAGATGATGCCAAGATCATTGATGGGCTGACTGGAGAAAAAGCCATCTACAAACGCCGGGGTGATCTGGAGCCACAAGTAAGTAATGGTGAACGAGTAGCCTCCAGTCTGTGGAATGCAGCCCTCTTTACAGACAAACGCTTTCTTGAGTTGCCATCTCTGTCAAAACACCAAAAACCCTGAATATGGCAACCCGATCTCCTGCCAGGGCCTCCCACCCGCAGAATCCACCAGGAGCTAGCAGCTGAGGGAGAGTCTGATGCTGTCCATGCAGATCAGCTCCTAGGACACAGAGCAGGGTGCCCCTGGAGGGGAAATGGAAGACAGTCGGTATCCATGAATCCTGGAGGGTTGTGCTGGTTAAAGCCCTAGAGCAATCTTGGTGGTCTTCTACTGTCCTGTGACTTCAAAGGTCTCTTCCCATCCTATACCTGAAGAAAATTTTAGAAAATAAGAAACTCTCCCTTGACTAATTCCAACCATAATATGTAAAGCTTTAGACAGCCCTAATATTAAAATACCTGCAACAGAGTGGCAAACATAAAATGGCAGTAGGTGAAATACTGCGTCTCTCCTCTCGGAGCGTTCTGTGATCTCCTGTGTCCCAGAATAACCAGAATTGCTGAGCAACCACTGAGAGCTGGGGGTGCAGTGACTGGTGGGGAAGGGTAGTCACTTACTCCATTTTGATGTTTATTCAGAGAGGATCTTTTGGAAATTTGGGCAGTACTCACTTCTGTGTCATTGGCATGAGTCAACAACTACGTTCCTTACTGACTCATCACGGTCAACAAATGTGTTCAGATGTATCTGAATTGCGAGTGGTCATGGAAGCATATGTGGCGCTGTTCTTCATCTAAGCAGACTCAGCAAGTTTTTAAGAAATATACTGAATTTTGTCTGAAATCATTGCCCTCCAATACCCACACTATGTTTTGGAAATTACTAACCTCGCTCATTAGCTTTCATGCATGTCAGCGAGTGAATAATGACAGAATACTCTGGAATTTTTCATCTTCCTTTTTTCCTGTAAGTAAAACTGACAAACATACTTTTGTTTTTAATTCTGCAAACTGGCAGGCATGAGTCCAAAATCAAACTGAAACTCGCAGGAGTTTCACATTTTGATCGACACTTGTCACTCAAGTGCAGTTAGATGCTACTTTCATGCTGTAACTGCCGAGAAAAGTACCGAGAAGTAGTAATGCAGGGACTGGAAGGAAGAGAAACCTGAAAGCTTACTAATAACAGGAGACACTGAGGAAACATATTCCCTCAGTTCTTCACCAGACCCCGTCTCACATAACCTTGTTTTAGGAATCTGACATTTCTGGCAGGCTTTGTGGGAAATGATTGGCAGGTCACTACATAACAGGTAGGAATAAAACGGATGTGGCCTTCCAAAATAACTCAGTCTTGCTAGTGTAACTGACTCCAAGGCATGACATGAAAATGACATGTTGGGGTTTATATCTTTCCAGATTATTATTTTTAAGAATAATAGCCTCAGTAAGGTTTTACTAGTTGAGGTTGGGCTTTGTAAGGACCATATTCGAAAGGAAAATCTTTCCCATATGGCCCCAACTACCAGCCCAAGTCTGAAATTCCATTTACTGAAATACAAACCTTGCCACCTGCCAGGACCGCCTTGTGCAAGGCCAAGGCTACTGATCGACCCACCCCGCGGCTGGCACTCTGGGGCCTCTGGAGACCCTCACAACAGCAACTAGGGATGGCTTTCTGGTTCACAAGGCTTTTCTGTGTTCCCCCCCTCAGCTGGGCAGCCCCCAACAGAAACCCAAGCGCCTGCGCCTGGTGGTCGATGTATCTGGCAGCATGTACCGCTTTAACGGGGTCGACGGCCGGCTGGAGCGCTCGATGGAGGCCGTGTGTATGGTCATGGAAGCCTTCGAGAACTATGAGGAGAAGTTCAAGGTATGGCATGAACTAAGAATGATGAGAGGCGTCACTGACCACATCTGCCCAAAAGTCACCCCGAGTTAGGGCATGATGATGGATAGGTGGGTGCAGGCTTCACCTGAGTGGACAAAAATCATCTCCTCATCGGGTGCAGGCTTCACCTGAGTGGACAAAAATCATCTCCTCATCAGCTCACTTGTCAGCATAGAGAAAGAGAAGCCTTTGTTTTATCTGCCTTAATCATCAGAGAATGATTTAAAGGACCAATTACTACCGAAGAAAGCACTGCCCTTTAGAAGTGTGTGATGTTAGTCATAATGTTAGGGGGAAGAAAACAGGCATTTGGACGCACCACAAATCTCTTCCCCAAATTTCTGAGAGCCTTCCTCCTCATCCCCATTCCCGCCACACCCCATTCCAGCCCCATGGCCAAGCAGACAGCCTCCCGAGATTTGAGGACACCCGCAAAGAGCGCTATTCTCAGCCTTGCTTTGCCTTTCCACGTGAGGGAGGATCACACAGTAATTGATGACCCCCCGACAATGCAGACGGCAACCCTGGGAGAAATGCAGTCTCCCATTGAAACTACGTCCCTTCTGCGGTTGCTCAATTTGCTCTGCATCCTCCTTCAGAGGTCAGAGTGTGGAGAAGGGTTCCCCCATAGCCAGGTGACCGCCCAGGGTGAGTCCAGCAGTCTGCTCTTAATCAGCCACAAGAGCACCTGCACTCTGCCCTTACCAGAACCGATACCACGGCACGTGCTGTGTGGTTCTAATCAAAAGTGCAGTGGAGAGAAATGGTGTCTGTGCAGACGTGTGTAGCGGGTGCACCATCTACCCATCAGTATTCTAGATCATATTCAGCATCACACATGTCCTGCAGAAATAGGCAGTCTTAGATCATTATTTAGCTCGACATCCCACTTATAGGATCACTGTCCTTAGACATGCCTGTGTGTTATGATGGAAACAGATCGATGGAACTCATCACGTGGGTTACTTTAAGCCTGTTTTAGAGCTCCAGGCCTCCCAGGGTCCCTTATAAGAAGCTGTACGTGAGGGCGCCTGGGTGGCTCAGTTGGTTAAGCAACTGCCTTCGGCTCAGGTCATGATCTTGGAGTCCCTGGATGGAGTCCCGCATCAGGCTCCCTGCTTGTCAGGGAGTCTGCTTCTCCCTCTGACCCTCCCCCCTCTCATGTGCTTTCTCTCTCTCTCATTCTCTCTCTCTCAAATAAATAAATAAAATCTTTAAAAAAAAAAAAAAAAAGCTGTACGTGAGAGATTCCTCTTAGAATGAAGTGGTAGGAAAAGGTGGCTTTGGTCAGGGAGTGCTGGGGTTACCAGGCTCTGTACAAGTGCAGGATGCAAATACAAATAGGATGTGGACTTTCCATGTAGGGAGCAGCTTTGTTTCCTTTGAAGAATGGGATTGCATGTCCCCCTGTGATTCGTGAAAACCACGGAACTGTTCAAGATTCCCTCGTGGTTTTAGTTGCCAGAAACTCAGAGCCAAACTCAAAGACCAGCTTTATGGCCTGTAGGTTGTGCCCTGGTATTCAGCCTTTTCCTTCCCTTGACCCTCCGTCCCTTCAGATGTAAGTTTTTCTTGATTTTGATTTTTTACTTTTTTATGTTTTATGGTTTTCTAGAAAATATTTTAAAATATTTTAGATCCTTTCTCGTAGGAGTGAGTATAATTCCTAAATTTCTTGGACCACAGACAACCAGAGGGTAATTAAACATTCATCCACCACATCTGCATAAATCTCACTTAATGCTTTAAAACCCTTGGGTTCTGCTAATATTTGGATCAGCCCATCTGCCTCTTGTGTGAATCCTGAAGGTCAGTGTTCCTCAGCTTCCTTTGAGTTATATGGAGATGTTGATCCATTATAGATCATAGCAAACATACCACTATTAAAATTGGCATACATATTCATATTAGTGAGAATAAAATTTCCAGTTAGAAGCTTTTTGTGCCTTTGAGAACGGAACTGCTCTAACAGGTGAAACTACTTCTTCTAAGTTTTTAGAAAGATTTTTTAGGAGTTCACCAAGAAATCGGTTGACACAGCTCCTCGGGAAGGGTAAAGAATTAGACAGAAGGTGGAAGGTGGCAAAGGTAATAGGGGTTCAGAGAGCCATTTCCACAGCCTGCAGGGAGATGGTATGATTATCATGGAGTGTGCTGAATATTTCATTCCATCTCACACAGCAGAGTGTGCAGAGAGATTGAGATTTGTCCAGTTCTCTCTGTGAAAAGTCTGTTGTTTGGAACAACTACTAATGAGACTGGACATATCGCACCAAAAAAAAAAAAAAAAAAAAAAACACCAATATCAAGGAAATGAACATGTCCCGGGATGTTGTTTTGCTTTGTTTCTAATTGACAGTTACAACCCAGTTGTTGCCATGTGATGTACTGGATTTCCATAAAATGACAAATCTAAATTGTGTACTTGCTAAGAGCAGAGTACTCTGCCAGGTGCAGAGTTTCCTGCCATCCGTGAGCTGAGAGCCTAGTGAGGGTGACACATAAAGACTACTAATTCTAATGGAAGATTCGACGAGAGACGTGTGGTAACAGAGGCACGAACAGAGCGCACTCCTCTCCAGACATCTCCCCCCACTCTGGGCCATAACCCTGAAAGTAGTATTTTGCTGATAGTCTTTGATTCCCACAACAGCACAAACCTTTCCTCGGTCTTTATCAGTAAAACCACAGATACATTGAGAAGATAACCATATGTTACTATGGTAATACCAATTATTACCAAATCCAGTCACTATTTAGAGCAAGAAATTATAGCAAGACACCAAGATAAGACAAAACTTCCTTCAAAGTTTGAAGTATGTTTATTGGGTTTTTTTATGCTATTAGATCCTTAATAGACAGCACTTTAATTGTTTGGGGTTTTCTCATAAATATATTCCTTACATTCACTGCAGTTCCTTTAGAACTTTTTTAAGAGCACAGAAAGTCTCCAGTGCATTAAAATCTTTCCAACAAAAAGAAAAGACATTTAAGACTTCACAAAATAAGCTCTTTGAGGAAAAGCGGTCCTTGGGCAAGGACGTCAAGGGCTGGGGGAGAGGCGGGACGGGGAGGGCACAGGAGTCCCCTTCCTGCAAATTCCTCACCGTGTCCATGGACTTCAGAACAGGCTCGCTTTCCTAGGTCATTTACTCAGTTACCTCATTCTTCACATAGGAAATCGAGACCCAGAACATGAAGGACTTTTCCCAAAGTCAGAAGGCTAGTTGGAGACAGAGTAGGATGGGGCCAGGACTCCCCTTCTGTTTGTTTTCCCTTTCTGGTACTTTTTGTTTTGTTTTTAAAATTTCCCTTAATTCCCAACTTTTTTATTTTGAAAAAATGTGAACCTACAGAAAAGTTGAAAAACAGTAATATGAACACCCACGAGCCTTCACTTAGATTCACCAGCTGTTGATATTTTCCCTCATTTGCTTTATGTTTTCTCTCTAAATATATAATTTTCTTTCTTCTGACTCATTTGAAAGGAAATTATAAACGCCATAATGCTTTACCTCCAAATATTTTATTATGCTTCTCCTAACAGTGAGGACGTTCTCTAACACAACCTCAGTACCATTATCACACCTAAGAAAATTACCAGTAATTTCGTAATATCTTCTAATGTCCAGTCCACATTCTCTTTTCCCAGCTATCGCAGAGGTATCTTCTTTTTTATGGAAGTATAATAAACATGCAGGATTATATTAGTCCCAGCTGTACAGCATAATGATTCAACAGTTCCATACATCACTCCATGCTCCCATGATAAATCTTTCCCAAAAGAGTTTTGTCTAGTTGGTACCCGCCCCCACCCCCCCCACACACACACAATCCAGGATCCAGTGAAAGCCCACACTTGTTTTTTGGTTGCAATGTCTTGTTAGCCTCTTTTAATCTGGAGCGGCCACCTCCCCTGCCACTACCCTCTTTGCTTTTTGGGGTGGGGGCTCTCTTGAGAGTTCAGATCAGTTGTTTTGCAGCATGTCCTTTATCCTGGATTCGTCTGGCTATTTCCTCACAGTGCCATTTACCTTGTCCCAAATTTCCAGAACTTCTGACAGGCTTCCCTGCCCCACCCCCCCAACACTGGGTGCCCTGGAGACTTCACATAATCTTCTCACCACCCCCCCAACATGTCTACGGTGTGAGTGGCCACTGGCCACCCAGTCTCTGCTGGGGCTCCCCAGCATCCTTTGTCGAGTGTGGGAAAGAGGTGGGATGGAGCTACTGACATTCTGTGAGAGCGTTTTTTTGTAATTAAACATGTAATTAGACATGCGTAGAAGGTACAGGAAGGGGGAGAGAGGCCTCTGTGTAAGCCTCTGCCCCCACCCCCACTTCCCCCTCCGGTGGCGACCACTGTTAGTGGACTTTTTTGTGGTGTCTTCTCAGGGCTGTTTGATGCGTGTACATCAGGCGTGTCCCATTCCCTCAGGTCTGTGTGCACTGCATGATCACATTCAGCTCCCTTCATCTGCGTGCTCACGTTCTCCTTTGCCAGAGAAGGGTGCGGCCTAGGAATAACTAATGGAAGTATGTAACTTTCCCAGCAAATACAAAATGATGCACAAATGACAGCTTTAGGAGTTCCTAGTGAAAAGTTTATATTCCATAGCCCCGGAGGGCATCGCACGTGGCATCTTTAAGAATTAGCAGTGTGCTCTGAGACTCCCCACTCCCCAGATCCAGATGACTCTGAATGTGGTCCTCCTGCACTTATCCCTCCTTCGTTAAGGGGTTCAGTCTGTCTTTGCGGAAACCTTCAGAAGCCACCGGCCTGGCCCGGTGATCTGGACCCTTCCCTGAAACCTCTCTCTTGGCATCTGCTGTGTGTCTTGTTTGGTTTGGGCTTGCTCCCCAGCCCTGGGTCATTACAGTCCAGGTCTAGGAGGCTCATTTAGAGTCCACCTCCACTTTCTATTCCATCTTAGCATGATCCATGCCAAACCACAGGGACCCTCGAGTAAGAATTACTGAGA